AACTGTTGCAATGTTTACCATTTTTCTTCAGGTTCTTCTTCATCTTCTTCTGTTATGTGACTCCCCTGTATCTGTGCATCAAGCTCTGCCAACATTTCCTCTGGACTCCTGTCTTCATCATCATCTAAGAGCTCATTCACATCTTCTCCATTCATATCTTCAAAGCCATCACCTGGTAATCTCCTTGCCAGCTGAACAATTTCCTGAACCTGACTCTCAAGCAAGGGAAAACCAGTGAAAGAAATAACTACAGAAGGCCATAACTTTTCCCAGCCTGCATTTAATGTTGACTGAGGGGACTTCACTCCATGCACTTCTAGCATAGCTGATGGCATCTGCAATGTTAAATTTATTCCAGAAGCTTCCTACTGCCAGGTTGGAGTCAGAGTCCATTGATGCAACTAGTTTTTTCGTAACTTTTTTGTGTAGTTACACTTGAATGGCTTAAGAACTCCCCAGTCCAGTGGTTGTATTAGAGATGTTGTATCTGGAGGTAAAAATACAACTTTTACATGAGGGGTCACATCCAGCAAAGCTTGTGGATGAGTACAGGAGTCATCAAAAATGAAGAGAGCTTTGAATGCAAGGTTCTTGCCGTGCAGGTAAAACTAGACTTCAGGAATAAAGTGATGCTTAACCCTTTGACTGTTTCAGGCCCCTCTCTGAAACTGTCATTCTATGTCGCTCAATTTTTGAAAAAAAAAAATTATTTTTTCTTATGAAATGATAGAGAATCTTTTCCCGATGGTAATGACACCAAAAGTTCGAAATTTGGTCGAAAACTCGTGGAATTATGCTCCCGCGAAGTTAGCGGTCTCGGCGGCATATGCGTATCGGCGATTTCGCCGACTTTGAGCCCTATTTTCAGCCAATTCCATTGTTTCAGTTGACCAAACTCATAGCTATTTCTTTAGAACTCCATTTTATCTATCAGCTGAGTACAAGAAACCTCCCATTTACTAATTTGGACTACCCAATACGGTGGTCAGAAATTGGCAATTTGGCCAATTTCACGCAAAATAAAAAAGATGCCAATTTCAAAATAGGGTCCAGAATAAACAAGGTAGACATTCGTGGCACTAAAATAACATATGCTCTGTTCATTGGTCACATCTCTAGGCCCCTCTTATATTATTATTGCTTTCTATTTTGATTTTTTATTCATACAAAAAAATACAAAATTTACTGTTATGCAGACGACTGCATTATTGTAAAAATGGTATAAATAATATCAGTGCACTAGTGAAAGAATATTAGACTCCCCAGTTGACGTGTATTGGACGTGTGGTGTGATTTATTTATTCTTGAACATTGGTAAAAATCGAACATTTCCGCTACTTTGAGCTCAGTTTCAAGGTCGTTTTCATCGTAAAAGTAATGAAAATCATCTCTATTTCTGTAATATGTTTTCCATTTTATCACCTAAGACCATGAAAACACGAATACAACGATAAATACTATACGAAAATACACCTCAAAGTCGGCGTTTTATTCCAAAAAAACGATCAGAGTTTTTTTTTTCTCATTACACAATGTGTGCTGCAGGATTTTTTTTATGTGGTGCACACTGACCACACAGACCCATTCTCTCACATGTGGGCCTACCAGCTTTCTCCCACTTGATTTGAAGCCGCTAGAATTATTGAGTATATATACGTCAGAAACAATGGCTCGTAAGACGTATTTATACGTCGAAAACAGTCAAAGGGTTAACCCTTTCAGGGTCGAGACCCCCGATCCTGAACTCGCTCTCAGGGTCAAAAAAAAAAAATTATTTTTTCTTATTAAATGATAGAGAATCTTTACCCGATGGTAATGACACCAAAAGAATGAAATTTAATGGAAAACTTATGGAATTATGCTCTCGCAAAGTTAGCGGTCTCAACGATATTTAAGCATTGGCACTTTCTCCCACTTTGAGCCCTATTTTCGGCCAATTCCAATGTTACAGTCAACTAAAATCACAGCTATTTTGCTAGAACTTCATTTATTCTATTGAATGAGTACAAGAAACTGCTCATTCAAGAAACTACCCAATGAAGTGGTCAAAAACTGGCAATTTGGACAATTTCACACAAATTTCAAAAGATGCCAATTTCAAAATAGGGTCCAGAATAAACAAGACAGGGATTCCTGGAACTAAAATAACATTTTCTCTGTTCATTAGTCACATCTCCAGGCCCCTCTTATATTACTCTTGCTTTTCATTTTGAATTTTTCTCACAAAAAATAGAGGATTACTGTTATGAAGACTACTGCATTATTGTAAAAATGGTATAAACAATATCAGTTGATGTGTATTGGATGCGTGGTGTGATTTGTTTACTCTTGAAAATCGAACATTTCCACTACTTTGAACTCAATTTCAAGGCACTTTTCATCATGAAACCACTCAAAATCATCTCTATTTCTGTAATAAATTTGCCATTCTATCAAATGAGACCAAGAAAATGAGAATACACCCATAAATATCATACGAAAATACACTGCAAGGTCGCTGTTTGAAACCAAAAACATGGTCGGAGTGCTTTTCCTCATTTGCACTGCATGCTGCGGGATTTTTTTTTATACTGAGCACAGTGACCATGCTGACCCATTCTTTCATACATAGGCCTACCAGCTTTCCTCTGCTCGATTTGAAAGTACTAGAATTTACGAGTACAAGGTGAATCATAGAATTGATGAGGGGAAAAGGGTGAGTGGTGCACTTAGGAGTCTGTGGAGACAAAGAACTTTGTCCTTGGAGGCAAAGAGGGGAATGTATGAGAGTATAGTTTTATCAACGCTCTTATATGGGTGTGAAGCATGGGTGATGAATGTTGCAGCAAGGAGAAGGCTGGAGGCAGTGGAGATGTCATGTCTGAGGGCAATGTGTGGTGTGAATATAATGCAGAGAATTCGTAGTTTGGAAGTCAGGAGGAGGTGCGAGATTATCAAAACTGTTGTCCAGAGGGCTGAGGAAGGGTTGTTGAGGTGGTTCGGACATGTAGAGAGAATGGAGCGAAACAGAATGACTTCAAGAGTGTATCAGTCTGTAGTGGAAGGAAGGCGGGGTAGGGGTCGGCCTAGGAAAGGTTGGAGGGAGGGGGTAAAGGAGGTTTTGTGTGCGAGGGGCTTGGACTTCCAGCAGGCATGCGTGAGTATGTTTGATAGGAGTGAATCGAGACAAATGGTCTTTAATACTTGACGTGCTGTTGGAGTGTGAGCAAAGTAACATTTATGAAGGGATTCAGGGAAACCGGCAGGCCGGACTTGAGTCCTGGATATGGGAAGTACAGTGCCTGCACTCTGAAGGAGGGATGTTAATGTTGCAGTTTAAAAACTGTATTGTAAAGCACCCTTCTGGCAAGACAGTGATGGAGTGAATGATGGTGAAAGTTTTTCTTTTTCGGGCCACCCTGCCTTGGTGGGAATTGGCCAGTGTGTTAATAATAAAAAAAAAAGTACGGCACCAACCCTGAAAGAATTAAACCAGTCAATAAATATTTCCTCTGTTATCCATGCTGACTGGCTTGACTTCCAAATTACTGGTAAGGTGTTTTTATCTACACCTTTCAAAGTTTGAAGATTCTTAGAGCAGTAAATAACCATGGGCTTACCGCATTACCGCAAAGGAGCAAGTGGAAGTGATCTTTTGCTGTTTTAAAGCCCGATGCACTTTTCTCTTGCTGACTGATACAAGTTCGTTTTGGCATTTTCTTCCCCCCCCCCCCCAAAATAAAAAAAAAACTTGTCTCATCAACATTAAGCAGTTGATGTGGCTCATAGCCACCCTCAGAAATATTTTCCTGTAATTTGGTAGGGAAATTATTTGCTGTTGTATGATCAGCTGAAGCAAAATCACCAGTAAACTTAATATTATGTAATTTATTATGCAACTTTAAAGTTGTGGAACGAGCCTGTGCTAAAAAATACAATCTTTACAGGCCTTCCTTCCTTATCACACACTGCCTTAAACAACTATAAGGCCTTTTCCCTAATTAAGATGAAATTAAGTGATGCACCTTTCATTGTCTTTTGTTCGATTCACTCAAGCAACAAGTTTTCAGTTTTATTTACCCGTTGTGATCTACGTGTCATTCTTTTCACGAGATGACATCTAGGGTTATTCATTACACAAGCTAGTATATTCACCGCATTCTTTTTAATTGCACAAAATGACACTTCATTAAGGCCATAGGCCCTCTCTATATTCACCACATGTGAGCCACTCTTAACCCTTAAACTGTCCAAACATAGATCTACGTTCACATGTGTAGCGCTCCAAAAGTAGATCTACGTTTTTTTACATTTTTCAAATATAAAAAAAAAAATGTAGATCAAAGTTTTTTTACACGCTTTCAAATGTAAAAAAAGACGTAGATCTACGTTTCGACAGTTTAAGGGTTAAGCTTGTCTAATATCTTGATTTTCTTAACTCCTAGACTTAAACACTTAAACCTTTTCTTACCACTTTCAGCAACACTTCTATGCAGATTTAAGACATGGCAATTAAAAGATCTAACATGACTCACGAAATCGTAATGACACGATTGCAAACAAACCATACCCCGACCGCGGGTTCAATCCCGGCCGGGGTAGGGTTTAAAAGATCTAAACTCAATCCACAAATAAAAATAAAGACAGCTAGCTCCTAGCAGAGGATGGTTCTACACGCATATGAACTGAAGACTGGGACAAGGGTGGTGGGAGGGGTGGAGAATGGTGGGGGTGGTGGGGAGGCAGAGGATGGCAGTAGGTCTCTCCCATTGACTCAATGGTCTAACCCACAGCCAGAAATATCCCACAGGCAACGTCCCAAATTTTTTTCCCTCCCGCAAACTGAACCGTGTTAAGTTAATTTTACAAAGTGTTGTATAAAATTGTGCCACAATTCTTCAATAGTGCTATAACCAAATCATGCCAAATAAACCTGTGTTAAATAACGGTCTACTGTACACAGTTTACATAGGACCTTCTATGGACAATCTACTACAGGGAAGAAATACATATATACTAACCATTTTGTGAATTTGATCCCATGAGGTCAGAAGTATTTGGTGTTGAGGTAACTTGGAGACGGCCAATTGCAACCAAGCAACAGTGAGAAGAACCATGTGCTTCTTCTTCGCGATCCATCTGTAATACAACTTTATTTCTTATTCTTATTTACTACTGTACATTATTCATTTTCACTTATTACACATACAACATGAAAAGAATGGCAAGACATCATTCTTGTACTAGTACATAAAATAAAGCAACTACAAATATCCTTCAAATTTTATTTAGCTTTTTCTCTAACTGAATTAACCTATTTAGTCCTTTGATGCATTTAGTAGATACAAAAAAAAAAAATTGTAGTTCCTCATATATTGATATTGGTTTCCAAGGTTAACCCACTGACTGTTGCAACCCCAAATCCTGAGGTGTTTCCTGGTGTCAAAAAAAAAAAAAAAATTATGAAATGATAGAGAATCTTTTTCTGATGGTAATGACACCAAAAAGTGAAATTTGATAGAAAACTTACGGAATTATGCTCTCACAAAGTTAGCGACCTTGGCAATATTTACGAATCGGCAATTTCGCCCACTATGAGCCCTATTTTCGGCTAATTCCATTGTTCCAGTCGACCAAACTCATACCTATTTCTTTAGAACTCCATTTCTTCTATCAACTGAGCACAAGCAACTGCCCATTTACCAATTTCAACTACCCAATAAAGTGGTCAGAAATTGGCAATTTGGCCAATTTCATGCAAATTAAAAAATATGCCAATTTCAAAATAGGGTCCAGAATGAACAATGCAGACATTCCTGGCTCTAAATAACATTCTCTTTGTTCATCAGTCATGTCTCCAGGCCCCTCTGATATTGAATTTTTATTCAAACAAAAATTATAAGATTTGCTGTTATGCAGACTACTACAATATTGTAATAATTGTATAAATAATGTCAACCCATTCATGACTACATATTAGAATGGCTACTTGGACATTTACTGGACAATGACGTCATTTGTTTACTCTTGAACAACGGCAAAATTCAAACATTTCCCCTACTTTGAGCTCAATTTCAAGGTCCTTTTCATAGTAAAACCAATCAAAATCACCTCCATTTCTATAATATGTTTTCCATTCTATCGGCTAAGAAAACGAGAATATAACCATAAAAACTATACGAAGATACACCTCAAAGTCGGCGTTTTAATCCAAAAACACAGTCTTTTTTTTTTTTTTCTCATTATGCACTGCTTGCTGCAGGATTTTTTTTATACTGTGCACACTGATCACACAGACCCATTCTCTCACATGTGGGCCTACCAGCTTTCTCCCGCTTGATTTGAAGCCACTAGAATTTTTGAGTATACAGTGGACCCCCGGTTAACGATATTTTTTCACTCCAGAAGTATGTTCAGGTGCCAGTACTGACCGAATTTGTTCCCATAAGGAATATTGTGAAGTAGATTAGTCCATTTCAGACCCCCAAACATACACGTACAAACGCACTTACATAAATACACTTACATAATTGGTCGCATTCGGAGGTAATCGTTATGCAGGGGTCCACTGTATATACGTCAAACACATTGGCTCGTAAGATGTACATATATATGACCAAAACAGTCAAAGGGTTAATATTGTGTAAACATGGTAGCTATAACTGCCAAGGATATGGTCATCATTATTCATTCCCTGACTATCATTCCAGAATTGAACTGACATCACAACAACAATGACCCACCAAACCACATCTCCAGTACCTAGTAAGGGGCAAGTACTGTATCTCTTGCCTCCCAAATGAGCCTCTGTATTCCATATCTAGAAATGTCTACTGTAATAGCCACTATTTGGTACCCTGCTCTTGCAGATTTAAAAATTTTTCTTTTCTGTGTGATGCTATGGCCATATTTTTTCATATGGCCATGTAATAATTCTGACTCAGTGTCTGTATGAGTCCTCACACAGTCCTTCCTCATGTTTACCCTTAAGTTTTCTTAGGACCCCTGATTACTTCTTCCATGAACTCTGGAGTCTGACACTGTTGCTTGTGTGTGCAATAGGATGTCTCTGTTCTCTTTCCTTTTGTAAGTATTTTAATGAAAAATTTGTCAAACAACTCACCAAGGTCAACTGTTGATTCATTTAGGAATGATTTATGTCTAAACTGAATCACATAACTTTTGCTTTGTACTAATTTTGAGCTTGCAGCCCACACTCCTTTTGTATCAATGCTTAGCACTGCTATGTTCTGTGAAGTTGCCCAGCTGCAGCGTAGCTGAACTGTTGGCAATGTTAGTGTTGGCACTTGGGTAGCCCTGAGTAACACTTGGTGTGTAACTGATGGTCTAGCAGAATTTGTTAAAGCTGGACATGGCATTCTCGCCCTCATGGCAGACGCTCTGCTGACACTCATGGTAGGCCTGCAGTATCCTAGGCTTGTGCTGAGGCTTTGGCAGCCTACTCTCAGCTCAAATCTTATGCTAGGCTGAGGCAGATGTGTGGCTGAAGCTCCTTTATGTAAGTCCTGTTATAATAAACTGCAAGGCCAGAGTATGTCTTTAATTTACTCCATTAACTAGTGAACTCATACTATGCCAATCAACAAGGGCATAACGTAGTTACCTCTAAATAATGATCTGATGCATCAGTCTCTCCTCTAAAACACATATTCAGAAGTCTGCCCACTAACATTCTAAACAACAATACTATAGTCTAATAAACTGCTGTTATTAACCCTTTGACTGTCGCAACCCCCAATCCTGAGGGGTCTCCTGGTGTCGCAAAATTTAAAAAAAAAAAAATTATTTTTTCTTATGAAATGATAGAGAATCTTTTCCCGATTGTAATGACATCAAAAAAAAAAATTTGATGGAAAACTGACGGAATTATGCTCTTGCGAAGTTAGCGACCTCGGCGGTGTTTACAAATCGGCGATTTCGCCCACTTTGAGCCCTATTTTCGGCTAATTCCATTGTTCCAGTCGCCAAAACTCATAGCTATTTCTTCAGAACTCCATTTTTTCTATCGATTGAGTACAAGAAACTGTCCATTTACCGATTTCAACTACCTAATAATGTGGTCAGAAATTTGCAATTTGGCCAATTTCACGAAAACTAAAAAATATGACAATTTCAAAATAAGGTCCAGAATGAACAATGCAGACATTTCTGGCTCAAAAATAACATTTTCTTTGCTCATCAGTCATGTCTCCAGGCCCCTCTGATATTACTCTTGCTTTCTATTTTGAATTTTTATTCAAACAAAAAATAGAAGACTTACTATTATGCAGACTACTGCAATACTTGTATAAATAACATCAACCCATTCATGACTGCATATTAGAATGGCTAGTTGGACATTTATTGGACAATGGCATCATTTGTTTACTTTTGAACATTGGCAAAAATCAAACATTTCCCCTGCTTTGAGCTCCATTTCTAGGTTCTTTTTATAGTAAAATCAATCAAAATCACCTCTATTTCTATAATATGTTTTCCATTCTATCAAATGAGACCAAGAAAACGAGAACACAACCATAAATACTATACGAAAATAGACCACAAAGTCGGCATTTTAATTAAAAAAAAAAACGGTCAGTTTTTTTTTTCTCATTATGCACTGCGTGCTCCAGGATTTTTTTTATATGGTGCACACTGACCACACAGACCCATTCTCTCACATGTGGGCCTACCAGCTTTCTCCTGCTTGATTTGAAGCCGCTAGAATTTATGAGTACATACGTCATACACGGTACCTGGTAAGACGTATATATATGGCCGCGACAGTCAAAGGGTTAAATGCCACATCACATCTTGTAAACTTGTATATCCTATTTTCTTTTAAAATAAGTATTATCTATTACCAAACTTCTTTTTTATATATACATAATTCAATTAAGAGGCTCTCTACTGTTATTTACTCCTGGAACTCTAATCTTACCTATTATGTCCACTAAAACAGTATTCCACTTTAGCAATTACACGTACAGTGGTACCTCGAGTTTGAATAGCTCCCAACTTGAACAATTATGTAAGTGTATTTATGTAAGTGCTTTTGTAAGTGTATTTTTGGGGGTCTGAAATGGACTAATCTAATTTATGTTATTCCTTATGGGAACAAATTCATTTGGTATCGGCACTTGAACAGCCTTCTGGAACAAATTAAGTTTGTAACTTGAGGTACCACTGTATATCACCCACAGCAATTATTCCCTTACCTGGTTTGAAACTCCCTAAATGTTCACTTATCACATCCTAAAATCTCTTTCTCTCTCTGTTCTCTACTAATCTTCATTATTTTTTAATGTAAATATTTTTATCTGGCAGGCTGGACTTGATTCCTGGAGATGGGAAGCACAGTGCCTGCACTCTGAAGGAGGGGTGTTAATGTTGCAGTTTTATAATTGTAGTGTAAGCATACCTCTGGCAAGACAGTGATGGAGTGAATGATGAAAGTTATATTTTTTCAGGCCACCCCGCCTTGATGGGAAATGGCCAATGTGTAAAAAAAAAAAAAAAAAAACTTTCCATAGTTGATAATTTAATCCCTCAAGTTTCTCAGATACACCTGATTTAACTCCATTTACTATACTTTACTTGCAGATAAAGAATTTTAATCCACTTCTCTATGAAAATAAGATAAAACACTACAAGGACAAGAACTATTTCCATATAAAATGGCCATGATGGCAGTACACATTCCCAAGATAAACTCTTACTAGGAATTACTTTTCTCTCCTACAAACTTTAACCTTAACCTTTACTATCTCGCAAAAACTATCATTTAAAATATACCTACAACACCTGTTACATAGCTCCCTTATCATATACCTTTCCCAAATTTATAAATGCAGCAAACAGCTCCTAGGTATTGTTCACTTTTGTACAATAATGCAAGCACTTGATTCACTCATTCCTTTGCCTAAATGCTCTTGGTTCCTCTGCAATCCTACTCTGGGCATGATAAGATGCAAAGCCATCAACTAAATGTTTCCTATAAGGGTATGGAGGGCTATTCCAATTAAATAGTGTTAAATGATGTGAACATGCAATATTTCAAACTTTAATTCCATTTTCAACTGCCTGTAACAGAATCTGATGCCACTAAACTTCTTTTGAAAAACAGCAGGGATACCAAA